TTTTCCCACAACCACCGTGCTAGAGGGGTGATTACTGAATGTGCTGAACTCTGTCAGTGAAATTAAAACCTCTCTCCATTTTTTTCAGTGCCCCTTATTCAGGAGATGGAGTCCAGAATCATGATACCCTTGAAGATTTCTCCACTTCAGTAAAGTCACTGATTTTCTTGTGCCTACATAGATGAAGTGACAAGTTTTTGTCTTAATTTATGGTATACACTGTATATCATAGTCTGAAATATAAAAGTACTGTATTGAGCTTATAAAAGAGACCTCTTTTCTTCAGAACCCACGACCTTCTCCTCTTAGGGGAAAAAAAAAAAACAAAAAACGAAGAAGACTGTGATTAAAAGGTTGGTGAATTGAAAACAAGTCCAAATCTGTGGGCCAGGTCCCCAGGGAATGTGTGACCTACAGGATTTGAAATCTCCTGCTCCACAGGCACTGCCCAGAGCTCAGGAGCAGCATTGCTGTGAGCATTTAATGACTGCAGCACTCCAAAACAAACGTGGGAGTGAAATGAGAAGCTCTGGAGAAATGAGAATTTCATTTCAAATTGTGAAACGAGCAGCTCTGGGGTTGCTGTGAAATCACCCCTGGCTGGTGGAACAGGCCTGAAATCAGCAAATCTCCATTTCCAAGCAGTCATTAATTTGGGATAATCCTGTGTGGCAGGGGATGGATTTTGGACAGCAAGGGGCATTGCAGGGTCTCTGAGCACACTTTTGTGTGGAACCTCCCCCTGGAATGAATCCCACGCAGGGTGAGCCACGCTTCCCCCACAGACACTGCCTGAACACCCTGCAGGGAATCAATCCACTCCAAAGCATTTCCCTCCCAAAACAGCTCCAAAATCTGGGAAAAGGGGTTGAATTTAATAAGCAGTGCTGGTTCAGACTCAGAGGGGGGCTGCAGTCCCCGTGGCTGGGTTGGTGTGTGAAGCTGGGGTTGGCATTTCTGTGTACCATGGTGTCCAGTTCTGTTTTGGTTTCACTTTTAGGCTAGAATGTATCCACACTTTTTGGTGTCTGCAACGATGTGAACATCCTGTAAGTGACAATAATATTCTCTCTCTCTCTCTCAAGTGGCTCCAAGAATCAGTGTAACATACTGAATGTACAAATCAGTTCTGAATGTCCAGTTTGTACATTTCAAGAAGTTTTCAGGAAGAACATATCAGTCAATAAAAACCTTTTAATTTTCACTTTTTTGCTGGCATATCTCCTATGTATTACACCACTTGTGTTTTCTCTCCTCTTGCAGTGTTTAGTATGGAGAATTCAGAATATTTCAGCTTAATTTACCCATATCACTTCTCTGGGTAGGGGACAGCATTTCCCATTTTCTGCTCTCTTTCTCCAAAGTGAATTTACAATCTCTCCATCACATCCCATTCTGCTGAGTGTTCTAGAGGCTCTGAATGCTGTGGTGATAAGTACAAAATACTTTTCCTGTTGATTTTTTCCCACAAATTATGCTTCATTTTTCAGGTGTGCTTTCTTTCCTAGTTACATGAAATACACTGCCCTCATGCCCCCCTCCCTTGAATTTCCCCTTGAACAAAGTCAATATTTGATCTGATTCTTGTCTGGTTTTATATTTTCCTCCTGTTGCCAAGTGATGGTGGGATTTTACTGAGTCACATTCTGTGCTGTATCAGCTTGAAGCTGCTCAGTGGACCAAGGAAATCATTTGAGCTGATCCTCCTTGGAAATCAGCCCTGGGGCTGCCATTTTCCCTGACTTTGGGGCTACTCTTCAGCTGCAGAAAGAAAAAAGGGATGCCAATATCACCTTCCAGTCCTTTTTACCTCTCCCAGCATCTTCCCAGATTTCTTTTCCCTGGAAAATTGTCCTTGTAACTCCTACCCAGCCATCTCTGCCAGAGACAAACAGCAAAAGAAACATTTTTGGAGCTACAGGATGCTTTGTGTTAGATGCAATCCACGTTTTTTACCTTCACCAGGAATTAAATTCTGCCTGGCACAGCTCTTGTTGTACAAAGACCACGACATTTTGCCTGGATAAGGAATCAGAGGAGTAACTGGGTGTCCTGTGGGGTAACATCACAGAGTGCAGGTCCCTCACCCACTCTCAGCATCTGAATTCCCCCTGGAATTCTGAATTCCCCCTGCCCTGATGTGTTATGGATGAGCCTCCCCTCATTCTGAGCTTCCTGCTTGTTCTGGCTGCCCTCAGGGACAGATAAAACAGATAAAACTTGGTATTTTACCTGCAGCTAAAGCAGTTCCTGTTATTTTCCTTACAGATAACAGTGTAAACTCCAATGGAAATGAGTAATCCAAATCTTCCCTTGGCTTCCCTGTGCCTGAGCTTGGTTTTCCCTGGTTCTGTGAACACTCTTGGGATTTTCCCTCTTGATTTCATGGCTGATTTCAAGTTTTCCTTAGGTGAGCAATCCCTCAGCATTTCTTACAGCACAACTGCTGCAGTTCAGAGCTGAAGTCACTTCCCAAAGGTTGAAAAGTGGGAGAGCAGTGCCTGGAAGGGCCTCTGGCAAATCTCACCTCTTGTTCCACTGCAATGACACAATTAAAACTCAGGTTAATTGTCCTGGAGAAGGCTGCAAACTGTCCCTCACACAAATACATAATTTAAAGCAATTCTGCCTCACTGAATAATCCCATTAAAAGCCTTTTTATGAAGGCTGGTGGTCAAAAGCTCCTCCCTGTGTGACCTGTGCTGCTCCCCCAGACTTTGCCCCTCTGTGCTGGGATGTGTCTGGGCAAATCTGTGTCACTGAAACTTTCCTCACCCTGCTCTATTCCCTGCTGGGAATTTTCCACTATTTCACAGACAAAACAGCTGAGCCTCTCCCTGAGCTCAGCAATGCTCCTGCTGCCTCCTGGGCTAGAGGTCAGCCTCGATATTTGCCCAGTGGAAGGGGAGGGGGCATTTTTTTTTTCCCCCCAAGCCAGAATGACCTAAAGAGCTGTTGTGAAATCCCTGGCACAGCCCCACGTTTCCATAGTGCCCCGGCTGGCAGCAGCTCCTGCTGTGAATGTTAACATCCCTTGGAGGCTCCTGCCTGGGGCACTGGAGGAACTGCAGAGCCCTGAGCCATGTCCCAGTGCCTGCAGCTCCAGCTCTGTGACAGATTTATTTCCTTTGTGGCCTTTTCACTCCATAAAAAACAGCAAACAAACTCCTGAACTCCTAACTGTGGGATTGCACAGGGGGAAAGTGGGAGCAGAAGCACTTCAGAGGTGCCCTGCTCGTGCAGCCTTGCCTGAACAGAAGCAGGATTGTCCAGGAGCTGCCCTGGGAGCTGGCTGGGACTTTCCTCAGGAAGAATTTCAAAGAGCCCATCTTTAACACTCGCAGGAGTTGTGGGGAGCACTGCCAGCCATTGTCTGCTTGGCTTTTGTGGGGTTTGCTGAAGCCTCTGCAGATCCTCTGGGGCTCTCACGTGTCTGCCCTGCTCCAAAAACCATCACAAGTTTGGTTCTGAATTTGTTTTCTTTTAATCCTTCTACTTCTCTACTATTTAAATGCTGTTATAACCTCAAGGCAAAAACATTTGACAGCATCACTGAGAGCTGCAGCCCTGACTCTGGGCTGTGGTAACTCCCCTGTCCCCCATCTCCTCCTCACAGAATGAACAGGATTTGTTTTATTTGCTGGTGATGCTTTAACAAGTGAACAGCAGCTGTTGTGTGGCACCTTGGTTTAATCATCATAAATCAAGGAAATTCAGTGCTAGTTGTGAAAAGCAGTGATTATTATGAGACAATGTGAAATTTTGGAGGGTAGGGACATCACTTGTTTCTGTTCCAGCCAGAAATATGTGGTGGGGTGAAAGAGAATTGCCACACTTCCATTTCTGGAAAAATACTGGGGCTCTTTGTAGGCACTTAGAAGATAAAAACCTCATCAGATATTAAATATTTTTATATTAAATCATGTCATATTTACCCAACTTTCTCCTGTGTGTTGTGGGCATTGAAGGAAGGGGCAGGTGTGATGTATTTTCACATTGGTAAAGATTTCACATCCTCACAGGTGAGATTCTTACAAGTCAGGGACATCAAAGTCCCACAACGTGAAAAACACTCGGGAGAGTTGTCAGCATTTACCAGATGTGTTCTCTTGGATCAGACACTAAAGAGACTCCTTAAAAACCCAGGATCCATCAGCTGGAGCTCAGAGGAGTTCTTAGAACAGGTCAGGCTTAACTCTGGCAGAGTTTAGGGGTGGCTTATCCACACTGGAGGCAGAGGAAGGGACTGAAATGTCCCAGAATTTCCTTTAAAGGTTGATGAATTCACTCCTATCTCATTACAGCTGGTGGGGGTGGGTTGGCAAATGAATAAAACATTCCACAAACACTGGGACCACTTTCCAAAATCAGCAGTTTGGAATTTGATTGGAATATTTTGATGAAGGATGAGAACCACTCTGTCCTTCACCTGAAAATGTTTCTTAGCCAGGGATGAACATTGGATCTCAGATTTCCAGGCAGCTCCTGTCCCTGACAGGTTGAGTAACTGGTGTTGAGTAATAGATGACACCACAGGTTCTCTGTAGCCAAATTTTAATGAAATCAAAGATATTTAGTGATGTTTTCCACCTGTTCACTGATTAGCTGCTGCTGAGGTTCTGTACTGTGAAAGGTTCTTGCCAAACTGCAGCCTGAATTACATTATTATTATAATTATTATTATTATTACTGTTATTATATTGATTAGGCAAAGTTATTGTTTGTGGCCTTGTCCTTTTTTTTGTCACCCAAAATAAGTAGAGGCATTACTGATGAAACAACAGATGTGCAATATTGACCAGGAGATAACCCCTTAAGGTATTTTTAACTTTTTATTTTCTATGTTTGGTCTTCCCTTGGAAGTAAATAATTTATTTCTTCCACCATAGGAAAGCTTTATAAAAAACTTTAACCATTTTCGTTCCAACCTATTTGAGTAGCACGGTGCCAGAGTAGAAGGTCCCCAACCCCCAGAATCATTAAAAACTCCAGCCCACGAGTTTGCAAACAAATAAATGTTTAATGGCATTGTATAATGGATTTACAGGTGTTAAATAGATTATTTTACACAAGGATTTATCGCTCTTCCAGCTCTTTTAGCAATTCATCAAAGTGGGTGATGTACCACTTTGCTTTCTCCTTTACTTGTTTTCTGACTACATTGCCTCCAAATCCAATGAAGCAATCCTGGAAAAACACAAGGAATGGGCACATGGATTATTGCATGGAAGGAACAGAGTTCTCAATAATTAAGTTTGCTTTTAAGATTGTGTTTTAAAATCCTGTTTTCCTTTGCATGTTCATTTTTCAGATTTATTAACGATTAATTCTGCAGCGTTTCGGTTATTGGGGTTTTTCTCAGTGCCTTGTAGCTTCCAGACAGTTCAGATGTGAGATTTTCCTGAGAATCTGATGTAAATGTGATGCAATTCCATTCAAGAGCAAGCAAACATTGGCTCATACACCAGCATCCCACAATTACCCCTCTCCTGTTTATCTTACCTCTGCTTGCCTCAGCTGAGAGATACCAAAAGCAAACTTTAACCCTGTCCTCAATCATTAACCAGAGCAATCATCATTTCTACATCTCACAAAACCCCCTGCAGTGAAAGTTTAAAATTTCCACTGCAGTTTTTTTCTTTTTTTTTTTTTTTTCTTTTTTTTTTTTTTTTTTTACCTTGAGGTGGGAAGCATCAAATAAATCCTGAGCAGTTTTGGAGTACTGGGGGTCTTTTGTGTGGGGAAAGGAGCTGAAGGGGAGATGGAATTAAACTCTCTCCCTGGTACATGAGCATTTATAAAAGTTGTCTTTCTGGTAATTTTTTTATTAAAGAATCCAAACCTCGCTCTTATTTATGCCCCAAGGATTGGCTCAGAAGGAATTCAGGATTTCTGCAATACTCACTCCAGGAGGGCAGGCTTCCATGTCTGTAGCTCCATCTCCAATCATGACCACTTTCTTGAAGTGGAACTGTTCTTTCAGATGAGAGATAACCTTTCCCTTCCCCCCTGATTCAGCTGTTGGTTGTGTTTCATCAAATCCTGCATATTCTCCTAGAAAACAGTGGAAGGACAAGTTGGAAATACAGATATTTTCTTGGAAATGAAGGAATATCTCTGCCTGTGGTGTTTGACTTCATTGCATGCAGTCCTGTAAAGCCCACAGCACAGCATCCCAAATCAATAATTCCAAGGTAAGTTTAGACTGGGATTTCACCCAAGTCTTCAGTGGGGGGATTTTCAAAGGAAAATAGAGACATTTTCAAGGAAAACCAGAAACCTGTGTGGGCAGTGCTGCCAATCCATTCCCAGCACTCTGGTGTGAACATCCCAAGAGCAGCACCCAGGATGATGCAGAGACTAAGTAGGAAACCCTGAGTAAGAACAACCTCTGTACCTACAGCTCTGCTGGGGCACTCCAGCTTCAAATCCAGAGCAGCTCTGCTCCAGTGCCCCAAAGCCCCTGAAAGGGAGGGCTGTGAGAGCAGCTCAGGCCATGAACTCTTTGACTTGAGGAGAGCAGAAAATGAAACTCTGCTCTCAGCAGCTGTAATAAGTTTTACCTTTGGCACAGCTTGCAATTAAAAAGTAACTGCAGCTCTATTTCTTACATTGAGCATGGCCTGAGTTGGTTTTTGGTAAGGTTTTGTTAATTTTCCTCCATGGAATCAGCTGGATTGGTAACAGGACAGTGCCTGCAGCCCAATATCTGAGAGGTGGAAGCAGAAAAGTGCCATTAATGAGCAGAGAGAGGAGGGTGGAGGGGCTCTCACCATTGAAGTAAAATTTGAGCCTGTTGGCAAAGACGTTTGCTGTGGGGATGTTCAGCTGCAGGGCCACGTGTTCCACAATGCTCTGGAAGCCCCCTGAGACCAAGAACACCTGAACCCCTCGTTGGTGGAGTCTGCTCACCAGCTCCCTGAGGAGAGACAGCACAAAGGGCAAATAAATCCTTCCTAAGCCAGGCTTTGTGCTAGTCCAGCTTAGTTTGGGTGTGTGCTGCTTCCCAGCCCCATCCACCTCTGCTGCCCAAAGCTTTTCCCTCTTTCTTTGTGCACACACCTGGCTGGCAAGAGCTGGACAAAACCATCATTTCATAAATGGGCTGAAAAGTGCAAAGTGCAAAAGTTTGCTAGCTCAGAGTTGGTTCACCAGATGCTGGACATCAATGCCATCTTTAGGAGAGGGCACCAGCTACAGAAAAGGAATCAAAAAAAGAAGTTTGTGACCTCAGTTCATGCCAGCAGAACTTGAAGGCAGTGCAAAGTTTTGAGGATTTGGCTCTGGAGGCAGAAGATCAGCCTGGAGCAAGGGGAGCAGGGGAAGGGGTGGCAGGAACAGCAGAAACACTAAAGACTGAAAAGCAAAGCAGAGGCTTAAAGCAGGACCCAGAAAAGGAGGAAGAAAGGGAAGGAATGAAAAGGAGGAAAAAAGAGGAGGGCTGAAAAGGAGGAAGAAAAGGAAAGAATGAAAAGAAAAATCATGTGATCCTGAACAAGGAAACAATGTTCTCTTTGTGGTTACCTCTAGCTGTCTTCTACAGAAAAAAAGATATAATGCAAGCACAGGATCATCTAAAACTCCTTTTATATGTTAAAAATATTTTAGACTTGAAGTTATGGTCAGATTTTGTGCTAAAGAAATTATTTTCAATTGATAGAAACAATTTGAATAGGGAAAAAAATACTCAGAGCTTTTCAGTTTAAATAGTTCATGTTCATTCCAAACCTCAGGATGAATGAATACACACATTTACGTGTGTTTGCTTTAATTGTAATGGTTTTAGGGACTTCAGAATGGGTAGCTCTGAGCAATGGATCCCCTAAACTGAGCCAGGGGTGTGACTGCACTGAGCAGAGTCAGAGAGAGATACCAGAGTTGCAGAATAGACCAAATTTAAGGAGGTATTAAATCTCCTCCCAGTTCCATCACCTCTGAAAAAACAGTGGTTGAACAGATTCTTTTCCATTCCCATTTAACCCCCAAGCCAGGGTTTGAGCTTGGCAGCCAAGGTGCCAGTTAATATCAAAGAATCTTTTCTTTTTCCATGGATCTTTAACCACTAGCCATGGAGTCAGGCTCCTGATCCAAGCTCTGTGCACACCCAGCATGGAGATGGAGCAGGAAGGAAACACAAACCAGCTCTGTGGCCTCACAGCACCACTAGTGGCACAGAATTTGGTTTATTTATTCCATCTGCTTCCTGAATACTTAAAAAAAAAAAAAAATCTTCTTACCTTATTCCTGGAGTTAGCTGAGGTGGGTTGTCAGATATTAATTTCTGCACTTGTTCATAGGAGGGCCTGATGAGACCTAAGCGTGCTGTGAGAGCTGCCTTGAATGTCACAGTGCCACCCATGGCTCTGCGGGTCCTGAGGGACAGCCAAAAAATCAGATCAGGGACATTTCACCAGCTGGGGCTTCTCCCAACAACAGAGCATTGAGGAGGAACGACAAGGAACCAGGTGAGAGAGGTTATGCTGAGCCCAAAGATTGGTTCTCCATGGATGGGAGAACCAGTGGAGCAAAGGAAAATGGCTCCATCCCTCTGTGATGCCCTGCTGGGACCATATTCCTGAGCTGAATCTAACAGAGTTTTTGCTAAAAGCTTCAGCTTGTGCTGTTTCCCAGCCTCAGCCATGGGTTGGGAGTGCTGTCCCCTCTCCTCCATCTCATGGTAAGGTTTTCTCATTCAGAACAGGGTTTGGTAATGCTCAGCCAGGTTTAATGATGAGGACTGCTCTTAGTCTATCAAAATTACCACTAGAGAATTTATTCCAGGATAGTTTTGTTGGGTGGCCTCACAGTTCCCAAACCAAATCACTTCATCCAGCATTAATCCCACAGCATTACCACTAGAGAATTTATTCCAGGATAGTTTTGTTGGGTGGCCTCACAGTTCCCAAACCAAGTCACTTCATCCAGCATTAATCCCACTTACTACCCGACCCCTTTACGAACTGCCATCATCTACAACAGAACCAAAGGACAGTAAAGGACAAATCCACGATCACAGCTCACTCCTCCTGCCCTGTGGGAGCTCCCCCAGCCATACTTACATCTCTGCCACGGCGTCCCCAACCCCGCAGAACTTGGCCAGCTCGTCGATGCCCTCCTCCCTGATGACGGTGCTGTCCACGTCGAAGCACACGGCGTCGGCGCTGCGGAAGATCTCCTTCATCTCCATCAGGGACGCCATCCTTTTGGGAGCCTTCTTACTGTGAGGGGACAAGATGAAATCTTTCTCTGAGTGGGAGTAGTGCACTGTTTCCTGAGCCATTGGTGCTGCTGCTCTGGCGTGGGCGAGAAGGGCCGAGCGCAGGCGGCTCAGGGCTTTTATCCCGAGGGGAATGGTGGTGGAGGTCTGGCTCAGCTGCTGATTTGCTCTCAGCTGTTGCTGCCTACTGATGGTCACCTCGTGCTCCAGGTGGGCCGTGGAGCCCTGGGCTGCTGCTGATTTGTTCCCTGCTGCCTCAGCCCATTCGTGGGTTCAAGGTTGTAATCCTTGGCATTGGCTGAGGCACCAGGCTGCCAAGAGCTGGGTGAGATTGCAGGGCTCTCTTTATCTCAGAGGCGTCTTGGTTTCTCATCTCTGCCCCAGGGGTTGCTGCAATCCCTCAGGATTGATTGCAAACTACCCTAAACCTATCAATGAGTAGTTGTTCCTAAATCAGGAAGGTTTAGAGCCTCATTAATAAAAGATTGGACCATTAACATTAGGGATTAGCCTTTTATAAATCCATCTAACCCTTGGCCTTTGAGAACTTCACTCAACCCATCAAGCCATCACATTTTCCATAACAGTCCCTGACAAAAGTTTATTTTCTACCCTGTTCGATCTGTCCACTTCAATATGTTGAGCACTTCTTCAGATCAGTAGCTTCAAGAGTTAAGTATCTTCTTAGTCATCCCTGCTCAGCTTGTGCTTCATCCTTTCATAGGGGAATTAATTCAGTGTGGATTTTACTGTTTACTAATCTATAATTTAGACTCAAACAACACCTTCCTATTTATCTTACTTATCGGATTTTTTTGTTTTCAGAAGTTTTTGTTTCTTCTAATCTCTCAGACATCTCTCAGGACCTGTCTTGTGTGACTGATCTGGGTTGCATGTTCTTTTCCATCAAACAGCACATTCTTAGGAATTATAGATGTCTTTACAACCTTTCATCTTTTGTTTTCCTCTCACTAATGGTCAAAGCAGGAACAGAACCTTTGGGTTTATTCCCAGGACTTGATGAATATTGGGATACAAAAGGCTTTATGAAAAATTCCCATCATCACTACAAATGTAGAGCACACACCTCTCTTATCTGCTCTTGTGCATGGAATAAAAGAGAATTCTCCAATCTATTGGAGGTGGCTGGGAGGTGGAAATGTGTCTGAAGGAACCACCCAGCCTGAGTGGTGAAACCTGTTGTGAACAGCCAGGAGCTGTGTCTGCACAAGAGATCCTGCCTGACAAACAGGAGATGGCAATTGGCAAGGGACAGAGACAAGGGGTGACATGAGAGGCACAGGCAGCCCTCAGACAGGACCTCAGAATAACCTTTTTGGGGTTTATTCTGCTGCCTTTGAGGGGAGTGGTGGCATTAGAGGAGCTTTCCCAAAAAAAGGGCTTTTACAGAGCCGCTCTGAACTGCAGTTTGGCACAATTCTGCCCTTGGTGCATGAAGCTCCAGTCTAGCCTTAGGATCATGACTAAAGGATTATTTGCTGCAGGCCATGTGGGGTTTTATCTTTTTCTACAAAGACTCCACCAGACATGTAAGATAAATAGTTATAAGCCATCAGCACAGCATATAAAAGAAAAGTGACCATGGACATCAAAATTTCCCTCTGCCAGCGCCCAGCTCTGAGGTAAGGCTTGGTGGCCAGAGGCCAGTTCTGAGGTCAGGCTTGGCACTGGCTGGGCAGGTGACACGTGAATTGCACGTTTATTTTGCTTCAGCCTTGACTTTCTCTGGGCTGCAGAGCTGGGCTTGTGTTTGCAGGGAAATATCCCCAGGCAGCGGGGACATTGGCGTCACCCTGCTGATGCAGCACTGCCACAGCGTGAGGCAATGGCACCGTGAGGGGACACTGTGACGTGGCTGCTCGGTGACAAGCTGGAATTTGGGGCTGATGCACGGCTTTAATCCGCCCCAGAAAAACGTTATCTCTCCAAATGTGCGCTGGGAGTGATGAAATGTTCTCGTTTCCTTCTCTCTGACATTATCCACATTTCCCATGCTCCTTTCCCTGCTGGATGGTCCAGACAATGATGGCATGAAAGCTGTGGTGGAGTTTGCACTCTGATGGACAAATAATTATTGTGGAGTCATAGCTGGAATTAACCCTGTCCTCACTTTTATTCCTCTTTGAAAATAGCTTCACACTGTGGTTTATGTTATCTAAAAATAACAAATTGGAAGGGAAGAATTGCAAAAATCATCAGTAGCACATCAGAGCAAATAGAATTAAAGTTGTGTAAAACCCTTCTATGGACAAAACTCAGCTGCAGTTAGGGAAAAGCAAGTTTGTATTCCAGAGTGGTTCAGGCCTGTGTCCATAATACGGAGCATCTGATTGCTTAAAAGTGTAAATGTTTTAATGAGATGGGAAGAAAAAAGAAAATTCCTACAAATAATGGGTTCTGCTTCCATATGAAAAACACTGATAGGGAATCTCTGATCTTCCTACCACTGAATTTCAGGTAGGTAATCAATTCCTATCCAGAAAAGCACCCAAGCAGCAAACATTTCCACAGGTCGGATATAAAATAACACAGGGAAAGGCTGGAAAGAAGAATATGGGGAAGAAAAGAACAATGGGCAAAGAAATGGCTAAAGAAGACAAAAAGAGGTAGGGTGAAACTTGAGTTAAAGATGGAGAAAAAAGGTAATTACAAGGGAAGAGTGGAATTCCTGCGAGATCTCCTTGCCTCCAGACTATGAAGTGTTTCATTAGGCTGTTTAAAAAAAAAAAAAAAAAAACCAAAAAAACTAACATTTTCACAAGAAATAATTCTCTTTCATAATAGACAGGGTGGAGTCACAAACAGGGGAATTATGTAAGAGCACATGGGAAAGGAAAACAACTGAAATCTTCTCTGTTTGCTGTCCCTTCAAAGAAGGGCACTTGCCTCACAGGGAAAAACTGCCCCATCCTCTGTATCCACATGTAATGCAAATGGAAGCAGTAAGTGGTGCTCAGAACTGCAGGTGTTCTGGGGCTGCAAGGTTTTGATGAGATTTCAAACCCCTCATTGTGACTAGACCTCCCTTGTTGTCATATTTCAGCTTTCAGAAGTGCTGCCACGCTGCTACTTTGCATGATGATCACATTTATTGCTGTTAAAAATGAAGATTAAGTGAATCTTAATGAAATGTTATCCAGCACTCAGGAATATCCTTGTTTGCAAACAATTTCTGATTCACTTCTCCATTTAACATTGTACTGAACATTAACAGAAGTTCAACCACATTAAACTGTTTCTTTTGCCTTGAAGGGAAACTGCTGCTCAGAGCAGAGGATTTGGAGAAAATAGTTCTTGAAACTTTTTTCAGGGCCTTTTCCTCCTACAGCTTCTAAGAACATTCCCAGGAGTGTTTCCATGGTATGAGTTTAAACAAACCATTTAATCCTCATTGTTCCCAGTCCTGTGTCTGTAAAATGGGAATAACACAGTGGCACAGCTTTTCTGTGCTGAGCTTTCATCCTCAGAATTAGCAACGTTTTGAAAGCTTTAGAGGAAAGCTGATACATTTAAGCAGATTAGTTATATTTAAGCAAATTGTGTTTATGTTTTATATAAGTTTTAGAAGTTCAACCCATCCACACATAAGTTTCTGTGGCTTACAGGGTGAGAATAGGGAGATTCAGTCCTTAATCTCCTGCGTTTTCTTCATTTTTTAAAAGTTTTTTTTTAAACTCCCGGGTTTTTTATTTAGGTTTAGGCTTTTCTTTAACCTCCTGCTCCGTTTGTAAAGGCAGCGGCACAAAGCTGCGTGGAAGTCAAGAGATGAGCTGCTCGCAGCTCCACACGATTATCTGCACAGCAGTGCCTCACAGCGAACTCATTTAAGCACCTCGCGAAAAGCAGGTGAAAAAGGGCAGAAGGAACCTGTTGGATGTTGACATCCACCTCCCAACTCTCCAATCCCCTCTTTGCCCGTCCTGCCAAAACGCTGCTGCTCCCCCCGTGCCCGATTGCATCATTCATTCACGCTGCTGTTATAAAACAGCCGCCACGCCGGGGCCGGGCAGCACAGGCACAAAATCCTCCTCATTTTCCCTGCTGGGAAAAAAAACCCAAAAAACCCATTGTGTTAGGGATCCGCGAGCCAAACTCCAACCCTTCCGAGCAAAGCGCGGTGTGGTGACTTACAGAGGGAAGTGCCGCGGGTGCTGCCGCCGCTGGGAAGGTCCGCGCAGGGAGGGAGCGGCTGCGCCCGTCAGCGGCACCAGCCCCGAGCACGGGCTGCGAGGGACGGCAGCCGCATTTTGCAGCTCGGGCCCCGGTAAAGAGCTGAGTCAGGCAGCCCGCGGGGTTTGTTTGAGGTGCTCGCACACATGGGAACCGAGCGGGGCAGCTGTTCGCTGGCAGAGAAGGCGGCAGAGGTGTGACCGCCCCGGGGCAGGGGAGGAGCCGCTCCGGGCCGGGCGCGGGGGGTTCGCTCGGTGAGGCGCGGGCAGCTCCGCTCGGCAGCTTCTCCTGACTGAAATCACAGGGCAGGGACGCTGTTTTCGGGAGAGAAAGGAGGATTTGGGAGCTGAGATCACACAATCACTGGGTTGGAAGAGACCTTCAAGATCACGGAGTCCAACCCAGCCCCAACACCTCAACTCAACCCTGGCACCCAGTGCCACATCCAGCTTTGCTAAACACACCCAGGGATGGGACTATTCTAAAATGCAGGCAAAGCCGCTGGGAAGAAATGATAATGTCCAACTCCAGTTCAGAAGGCTGAATTATTTCTTTACATTAATATACTATATCAAGGAAGATATTAAAACTACAAACCTACTTGTTCTAACTACCATATCTAACTCACAACTTGTGACCCTCTCGCTCGAGTCCAGCCACAGGTGGATTGGATTGACCATCAGGCTCAAACAATTCTCACCAGAATTCAATCAAGCACTCACCCCAGGTAAACAATTCTCCAAACACATTCCACATGGGAAAACAAGAAGCTGAAATAGAAGTTGTTTTCTCTTTTTCCTCTGCACTGCTCTTTGAAAAAGTCCTGAGAGAGAAAGAAATGTGCTTGCCACAGGTGGCTCCACCACCTCCCCAGGCTGCCCATTCCAGAACTTTATCACCTTTCTGTGAAAAACTTTTTCCTAACATCCAGCCCACATTTTCCTTGGCACAGCTTAAGACTGTGTCCTCTGATTCTGTCAGTGCTGCCTGGAGAAAGAGACCAACCCCCAGGGGACTACAACCACCTTTCAGGTATTTAAGGTTGCAATATCTCCTCTTGGCTTAAGCTGTTGAAGTTTTACACACACAAATCCCAGCCAAAGCTGACAAAAGCTCGGCAGCAAAGGGAAAAGGCGTGGGAAAAGGCTCTGTGTTGTTTCCCCAAAAGCTGTGGAAAAATTGCCAAAGCTGCCCAGCATCCCACGGAAAATCTTCCCTCCACTGCATGGGTTGGAAATGGGAGAGTGCCAGCCCAGGAGTTGCTTGGTTCAAGGTCAAGAAAAGCTGATTTAGCTGATTTAGCTGCTTTTGTCCGCGTGTGCCAGGAGTCCTGTGACTGCTGCCCGTCTGTTCTGCACCGCTGGATGCTCCAGTCACGCTCTGTGCATGACCTCTTCTGCCATCCTGGCAGCACCACCCCTCAAAATTCCATTTATTAATTAAATCAAATCCCCTTCTGTGCCCCTCCTCCCTTTATGTTTTTCAGAATTTTGCAGTACATGACAGGATCATCTCTCAGGAACTTCTTGAGTCAGGAGAAGATGGGACCAAGGCCCTGTGCTGCCAAACTGGTGCCAGGGATCAGCAGCCCGGTGCTGTTTGTCAGCTTTATCATGGCAGGGTGGGATGTTGTTTAAAGCAGATTTAGAAATCATTTCTGTGAATAAGGTTAAAGAAAAACCCATCTTGATAAAGATGAAAGAAAATGGCTTTTACTGAGAATCTCAGAGGGGTTTTTGCCAAGATAAGCAGTGCCTGGCTTGACTGAGAGAATTGCTGCTGAATATTTCATGAAGGATATTGCCTTTATTTGGCTTACTTTAATGGACATGTTGGCTTTAATTTAGTTAAATATTTTGATTTTAACATGGTGTAATCCATTGAATTCATAGGGCAATTTAAGTCCTGTAAGCATTTGCCCTTTATTTTTATTACACATAAAAAACAAATAGAACAATTCTACAGCTAAAATTTAAAAAAAAGGAAGAAAAGCTTGTCTTGATGGCTGAAAAATGCTGCAAAATGGGATTTTAATGTGAAGATGCTTGTGAGAAATGTTACTAGAACACAAAATAACTATCCTGAGGAATGTGAGCCAGCAAAGAAACTCAGAGAGCTCTGCCTGGGAGCAGTAGGAGGATGCTCAGGAGTGAAAATACAACTTTGATACAAACAGCACCCAGCTCTTGTATGTCTCTACAGAACCTCTGAATTTGTACAAAAACCAGCAGAAACCACCTGCATGGGGGATTAGGGTGTCTCTGAAAACAGCTTTTCCTTTCCTCTCCCCTCCTCCTAAAAAGAACCATCTCAAAACTAAATTTTCCCTTTCTTTTCCAGCAGAAATAATTCCTCTCCTGAACCTGAACCTGGCCCACATCACTGCCAGCCCCACAGGTGTTTTAGGATGGGGATTCCTGCCTTTCCATAGGCATCAGCAAGGAAAACATAAAATATAACAAGCCTGCTGGGATGGGTTTGACAAGGCTGCCCTCTGCTGAGAACAGTCCTGAGAGGAATAGGCAAAAAAATAACAAAGCAGAGAAGCAAAAGGCAACAAAATGTTTGTCCTGGGAGTTCCAGAATGCAGGGCAGGGCTGGGGTGTTTTAACTGGACATTGCATCTCAGATATTTGCACAGCAGCCTCTTGGGCCAGGTTTTGTTATGGTTTCAGCATCCCAACGAAGTGCAGACAGCATTTTAACAGAGTTAACAGAGCAAATAATGAAAAGGCAAGTGTGATTCCCTGCATTTTGCAGTGTTTAATGTTTATTTCTAATGACTGCAATCACAGAGGAGAAAGCCCAGCCACTCCACTGGAGTCAGCATTTAAATATTTCACATGACACTGCTCAACAATAGGGCTTCAAACTTGTAGGATGTCCAAACAGCACCTAAAACATTAAAAAACCAGAATCCCAAGGATAGCAGCAGCTGTCCCCTCCAGGGAGACAGACAGGCCACGTGTGGGTGTCCTCCTCTTGTGCACAGCGTGGCATTTTGCCCAGAAACCTGAGATCCTCACCCAAAGCAGGTGCCACAGCCTGCAGCCAAACCCAGCCAGGCTGCCCTGACACTTGACACTGACTCTTCCATCAAGCTCGCCCAAAACTCCTGTGCAGCAAAGCTGGACCCAGCAGCAGGCTCAGACTTTACTCCTGGAGGTGGTGTGGAAATACATCCAGCTCCTTGCACTGCTGGAGCAACCCAGGGCTGCGTCCAGAGCTCCCTGCTGCAAAAAGTGGGATGGAGAGGGACACATTTCATAGAATTCATAAATTTGGTTGGAAGGGAACTTAAAGAGCATCTTGTTTCAGCCTCCTGCCGTGGGCAGGAACATTTTCCACTATCCCAGGCTGCTCCAAGCCCTGTCCAACCTGGCCTTGGACACTTTCAGCTTCTCCGGGCATCTTCATGCCCGGTGGGCGAGTGCTGGGGAAGGGTCTCTGCCTTCCCTGCACCAAATCCTGACAAAATCCTGGCCTCAGGGCCTGTTGTCCCTGTGGTCAGCCCCTCAGGAGCAGCTGGGCTGCAGAGCTCTGGGAGCTGCCTGGGATGACCGTGGGGCTGGGTACCTGCCTCATGCAGCACTGGAAATCAGGAGTTGTGTCACACCTGGAGTCACTGCAGCGGGCGTTGGAGGGTCCGAGCCCAGATGGAGCAATTCGGGATTCAATCGGCGCCCGCAGGGCTGTGAGGGACCATGGCAGGGCTTCTTCTCCAGTTCCTCTCCAGGGAAACTCACTTGTCCCTGCGTTTGAGTCCAAACACACAAATATTTCAGTGTCTGCAGGAGTGAGCCCTGACAGGCCACTTAGGGAAAACACTTCAGTACCTTCCAAGGTTGTCTTGACAATAATATTTCTGGTTTTATTCTACACAGAAACCTCTGTGCGGCCTTGGGAGGGACCATCCCCATCCTTGGAGCCCCTGGGAGGGATTCAGTCCAGGAAAGCCCTGGGCAGAGGGTGTGCACTGGGGACTATGGAGGCCTCGGTGCCCCACACATCAGCTTGTGTGTTATAAGAAGACGAGTTTTCATTAACCTCAATCCCGAATTTAACCAAGATCCATTGATTATTAATCCAGTCCACTTAACTATTAATTATATCGCTGTAATGTGAAATCACCGAGTTTAATTATTTATTTTCACGCTTCTGCGGAGTTGCTGGGGCGGATTAAGCAGGGACCATACCCGCCCGTTCACTGAGCGCCCTCACCCTCCCCGCGCTCCCCTCACGGCCCGCTCTGAGGGCGGTGCCGAGACTGGGCAGAGCGACAGGAGCCGCAGCCAATGGGAGCGCGGCTGCTGCGCCAATGAGCCAATGAGAACCGGGATGCCTTGGCGGCGGGAGCCGCCGGGATGAGCGACAGGCACTGTAACCAATAGAAACGCGGCGTCGCGCCCGTTGGCCAATGGGCGAACCCGGAGTGTTCTAGAAGGGGCGGGCGGGAGGCGGCGCCCCGCCCCGCCCGGCGCTGCCCACAGAGGAGCGCAGTCATGGCGGTGAAGGCGCTCAACCCCAAGGCCGAGGTGGCCCGTGCCCAGGCCGCGCTGGCCGTCAACATCAGCGCGGCCCGCGGGCTGCAGGACGTGCTGAGGACCAACCTGGGCCCCAAGGGCACCATGAAGATGTGAGGGAGCCCCCGCGCGTCTCGCCGCGGGTGGGGTTGGGGGGGGGGAGGGTGGTGGTGCACGGCCTGAGGGGAGGCGTGAGGGGACGCGGTGGGGGCCGGGACGTGCGGAGGGGAGCAAAGGTGGAGGCGGGGGGGCTGAGGGATGGGGAGGGAGCGGCGCGGGCCGCGGCCCCGCACGTGTTTGGGGCCGGCTGGATGAATGGATGGGGAAGGAGCGGGGCGGGCCCGCGGCCTCACACGCGTGTGTTGGGGCCGGGGCGCTGCTCACCCGCCCTGTGCCGCCCGCAGGCTCGTCTCGGGCTCCGGAGACATCAAGCTGACCAAAGATGGCAACGTGCTGCTGCAGGAAATGGTGAGCTGGGGCTGGTCCTCGCAGAGGGGTTTAGGGACGGACGAGCGCTTCTGGGTGAGGGGGAATCGCGTCCCCCCTGCCCCACCCGCCCTTATGTATTGAAGCAAAATGGTCTTTGGGAGGAGGGTAAAGAAATAAATGCAGGTTGAGGTAATGCCATAAAGAAAATAATGTTAAAAATATAAACGGCACCACAAGAACGAGTAAAATAACCAGCCAGAGGAGTAGCAAACTAATTAGGGTAAACCATTAGAACATCACCTTCAGTTCTTTGTTAGCTGATCTCAGATTTTTGTTTGCTGTACCACTGCAGTGAAATTCAACTGCTCAGCTTCTTATTTTTGTCTAGCAAATCCAACACCCCACGGCCTCCTTGATAGCAAAAGTAGCAACAGCACAAGATGACATCACTGGAGATGGCACCACCTCGAATGTCCTCATCATTGGAGAGCTCCTAAAGCAGGCAGATCTTTATATTTCTGAGGTGTGTATGCAGTGTTTCATTTGTAGGTGGGCGAGGTAAAACTTTCACTGAGATCCCTCAGTGGGGTTTTTTTGTTCAATGTTTAACAGGAGTGGAAAACAAATACATTGTTCTGCTTAAAATGAGAAGTTGTAAAAAGGGGGAAGAGCTAGATGAGAGGACTTATTAACCCTGTTGAAAATCAAAGCTGCTCATTGTGGATACTGTAGCTTTTAAGGTTTTGTGTGACACCTGCTGTTACTTTGTTTTGTGTGAGTCAAAACACTTCTGAAGAGTTTAAAAGGAGCTCCTCCCTGAGGGCAGGTAAACGTGGGTATTGCACAGCGAACACCCAAGTGTGCTTTGTAGTTCCCTTGGTTTGAGTTCTGTGCTAAATTAATCTGTACTTTTCCTCTGCATTGGAAGGATTTGCATTCCTTTTATATGTATTCAGAAGGACAGAACACATGGCCTGAGCAGCATATTCCCTGTGCTTTGCCAGGGAATGTTGAAACCAAGGGTTCTGGTTGTGGAAAAAGAACCATTTTGCCTTCCATTGTGCAATGATTTCTCTTCCCTTGCCTTAGGGTTTGCACCCTAGAATAGTAGCAGAAGGATTTGAGATTGCCAAGGAAAAAGCACTTGAGGTTTTGGAGCAGGTCAAAGTGTCCAAGGAGATGGACAGGGAGACCCTCATCGATGTTGCCAGGACTTCCCTCAGGACTAAAGTCCACGCTGAGCTTGCCGACATCCTGACAGAGGTGAGTGTCCCTGTCACCTCTGCCTCTGTGTGTGAAGAGAGCCGGCTTTGGAAGTGCTGGGACTCGAATTTGCACTTTGCACTTGGAAGACTGATGGTCATTTTGGGGTGTTTCCCTCCCCTGTGTTGCAGGCTGTGGTCGATTCTGTCCTGACAGTCAGAAAACCAGGCGAGCCCATTGACCTGTACATGGTGGAAATCATGGAGATGAAGCACAAATCAGAAACAGACACAACGTAAGTCAGGAGGATCCTTCGGCTTCAGATAATGGGGCCATGAGCTTTGAGCAGCCTGGGGGGTTTTGGTTCCTCTTTAGCATGTCCTAAAGCTACCAGTAGAAGAGTTAAAATACAGATTTCAGCCATAAATATCATGGCAGAAGTTTCTCACACACTGAATTGATTCCTTGATGAAATTATCAAATAGAAGAACACCACTGGCTTAACAATGTTGGATAAATATTCTTTTTTTCTTAGGATCTGTAACTTGATGATGTTTTAGGTTGTTATCTGTTAAATACAAAGCAGCATTTGATAAATGGAAACTGGGTTGTGGATTGGATATTCCATAGGATTTCCATTTCCCTCAGTGCATGGATGAATTCTGCACTAGCTTTCCTCAGTAGCTGATGCAGTCAGACACCATGCCAGAGCAAATTCCTTTTTTCCACTCTGCCTGGTGTGCTTTTTTATGGGAATGAGCATGCCCTTGGAAGGGGAACACATCATCCTTGTTCACTGCCAACAAGTGCCCAGGCAGTTTGGGTTGGAGCAGTTCCACTCTGCACTCTGTGAAATCCTGTGTTTGTGTCCATGGACACCCAGAGTGGTTTTTCATCTTGCAGGCTGATCAGGGGGCTGGTTCTGGATCATGGAGCTCGCCACCCTGACATGAAGAAAAGAGTGGAAGATGCTTTTATTCTTACCTGCAATGTGTCTCTGGAGTATGAGAAAACGTGAGTACACAGCAAAGGCTCGTGTCCTAAGGACTTTTATCTAAAATGTGCTTAAATACCAACCAAGACTCTGAAGGGGAAAGGTGACAGCCCTTCTGCAGCCCTTTTGGGAAAGGTAGTGGGTGAAAAAATCTCTGTGAGAGGCAGAGCTTCACAGTGGTTTTTATTTTGTTGTGTGATCACAGAAAGGTTGAAGGTCCTTTCTTTCTTGGGCACAGTTTGATATTCTAGAGCAAAAACATTAATACACTTTAGAGTTCTCTCAGCTTCAAGTGTCTGCCTTATTTTTTGAAGTGGAACAGCTCTGAACCAGAGAGCAGGAACAGCAGTGTGGGTGGTGGAGGGCGTGGTTTGTTTTGGGTGAATTTCTTCAGAATGTTACTGTAAGGCTCATTCCTTATGCTCAAGTTTATTTCTACAACAGAGAGGAAGTTTTCTCACTGCTTTCTGTGCTTTTTTTTCCCCTTCAGAGAGGTGAGCTCTGGATTCTTCTACAAAAGTGCTGAGGAGAGGGAGAAGTTGGTGAAAGCAGAAAGAAAGTTCATTGAAGACAGAGTCAACAAAATCATAGAGTTGAAAAGAAAAGTCTGTGGTGACTCAGACAAAGGATTTGTTGTGATCAACCAGAAGGTGAGATGAAGAGACTAACTAAAAATTATTTGAAATGCCAGAGTTGGCTAAATTTAGGCTGTTACTTTTGAATATAATGTACAGTTCCTTTGAGCCTTGAGGAAGAACTTCAAAGCGTCAGAGTGAGAGGCGGTGTTTTTAAGCTTTGTCCTTACGCTGATGGTCACTTTCTGCTTGCAGGGAATTGATCCATTTTCCTTGGATGCCCTTGCCAAAGAAGGAATAGTTGCTTTGAGGAGAGCTAAAAGGAGGAACATGGAAAGGTCAGTTCTGGGGAGAGGAGAGGATACAATAATCTGCTCTTCCAAACTGAGACAGTCAGTCAAGTCTGGCTTAAATCCATCTTTAAAGATTTGACTAAAAATTCCACTTCAATCTGTGCAGCTCTTGTGGTGTAACTGGGGGCAGTTTGAACAAACTGCAGAAAGGGCAGTTTGAGCTCTCGGGATGCTTTAAATGCAGACACCTACAGAGGAGCCTTTATTCTACACATTAGTAGTAGAATGAACAAAACCAAACTGTTGCAAGCCTAGGATCTGCAGCAGTGATTTTGGGTTTTATTGAACACAAAGCTGAGTTCTGCCTTTTCTCTGTCAGACTGACCCTGGCCTGTGGTGGCACTGCCATGAATTCTGTGGAGGATCTCACTCCCGACTGCCTGGGACACGCAGGGCTTGTCTATGAGTACACACTGGTGAGTGACCAAGTGTTTGAAGAGTAAAGCTGGAGTATTGAAATAAAATGCTACAAATCCACTTGGATGTGAACATCTGCCTGGATGTTTGCTCCTGTCACAGACTGAGAAAACAGAAATAAAATTCTGCTGCTTCTCATCACTTCCTGAAGTGCTGTCAGTGCAGAACCCAGCCTGAAAGCATCCAGTTTATTAATTTGTGTAGACATTGCTGAAGCAAGTGGCTGAGAGGCAAACCTGGCCCTGTTTTCCACAGGGAGAGGAGAAGTACACCTTCATTGAGAAGTGTGAGAACCCCCGCTCGGTGACCCTGCTCATCCGGGGCCCCAACAAGCACACGCTGACCCAGATCAAGGATGCAGTCAGGGATGGGCTGCGAGCTGTGAAAAATGCCATCGAGGATGGTGAGTCCCCTCCCTGTTAATCTTCATAAGGACCTTTGGAAACTCATCCCAAAATTAGGGAATTATCTATCAGCTCCCTTGGTTCCTGCTCCAGTCCAAGCCTGAGCTCAGTGCGAGGTGATTTTTTAGTTCTGTGGTTGATTACTCACCTGTTCAGGTGCAGGATATGGAAGGAAGAGATGAAACTGCACTAAATATGAGCTGTTTAAACTGAAACAGGTGGTTTTTCCTTGCAGGATGTGTGGTGCCAGGAGCAGGGGCACTGGAGGTGGCAGTAGCCAATGCTCTTGTCAAACACAAACCCAGCGTGAAAGGAAGAGCCCAGCTCGGA